ATAAACACTCGAGCACAGCCCTCTGCTGTGATCGACTCAGGTACAGCAACAAGATGTACCATCTTGCTGAACCTGTCTACAAACACGAGAATACCATTATTCCCGTGAGCGTCTTTGGGAAACCCAAAGACGAAGTCCATTGATACGGACTCCCAGCACTCTGCCGGAACAGGTAGAGGCTGCAATGGTGCACGGAGTGAAGGACTAGGCTTCACTCGTTGACACACCTCGCAAGCACGCACGTACTTGCGCACAAACTTATACTGGCGTGGCCAGTAAAAGTCGCGACTGACCGTGAGGTAAGTCTTCTCACGGCCGCGATGCCCACTTATTGGTGCATCGTGACATTCAAACATGATCCGTAACCTGAGATCATGTTGTGGCGGTACAACGACACGAGGCGTGTCGTTGTTGACGGCTGTGTAGTACAGTAAGCCGTCCCGCTGGGTGTATCGATCTAGAGAAGATCGATACATGGCAGGCAAGCGCTTCTTAGCTTGCGTGGATGGGTCCTTGAGGTACTCCATCAGGCGTACAAGATCATTATCTTGTGCGCATGCCCTTCTAATGTCGTCGAGTAAGCTCGACGACAAGACGCTGGTACTCAGCGTGGCGACAGTGGTGTTCACATCACTGTCGGATTGCACAGTCGGCTCTAGGTCAGGCCGACGTGAAAGAGCATCGGCGACGACGTTAAGTCGTCCCGGCTTATACTCCACGGAGAAGTTGTACTCCGCGAAGAATGACAACCATCTCGCCATTCGTTGCGAGAGGTGTGGGCTATTTACAGCCGTGCGTAGTGACGCATGGTCTGTATATACAATGAACGGTCTATCCCCTAAGAGATAGACGCGAAACTTAGCCAGTGCATACTTCATGGCAAGGAGTTCCTTGTCATGCACCGGGTAATTGCGCTCAGCCGGTTGCAGCTGACGCGATTGATAACAGACGACACGCTCGGCGCCGTCTGTATCATATTGCATCAGTGCGCAGCCGATTGCAAAATCACTGGCGTCACAGACCACATGAAATGGTCTGTCTTGATCGGCAATCGCCAACACTGGCGATTGCATCAAGCTTTGCTTGATACGTTCAAAGGAACGCTGACAATCAGCGTTCCAGTTCCACTTTACATTTTTCTTGAGTAAACAAGAAAGATGTACTGTCATTTCGGCGTAATTGCGCGAGTACTTGTGCAAGTACGCCGCTAGCCCAAGGAACTTCCTTAGTCCCTTGACATCGACTGGCACTGGCCAGTCGGTGATCGCCTTGATCTTTTCTGGATCAGGGCGTACGCCGTTCTTTCCGACGATGCACCCAAGAAGTGGTATTTCGCTAGCTGCGAATATACACTTCTTGAGGTTGGCGTACAACTTATGCTCTCGCATAAGTGTAAGAACCTTACGGACGTGGAGTCTATGGACTTCCACGTCTGTTTTCCCGTCCATAGCCCGACTATGGACGAACACATCATCGAAGTAACTCGGTGCGAATTCGCGCACCGGTCTCAATAGATGTGAAACACATCTATTGAATGTGGCTGGTGCATTACTAAGCCCTTGCGGCATCACCAACCATTCCCAGAGCATACCACTGGGAGTGCTCACTGCTGTGTACGGGATGTCCCGTTCACGCATTAGGATCTGATAGAAACCATCCATCAGATCCATGGACGAAAAGATGGTACTCTTAGACATACCATCTATGATTACGTCCTTTCTCGGTATCGGCGTTTGCGCCGGTATCGTTGCAGCGTTCAACTTATTGAACGCGTGCACTATCCGCCACCCTCCTGTGGCCTTGCGCACACAGAAGGTCGGAGAGCTGTGAGGTGAAGTTGACTCCCTCACATGGCCCGCTGCTAGGCGATCGGCAAAGAACTTGTCGATCGCCTCGACCTGTTCCCGAGGCAGTGGCCACTGCTTCATGACACAATATTTTGTGCCAGGAACAAGGTCGATCTCGTGTCGAGTACCTTTATCCTTAGGTAACTCGCACGGAACGGATTCAGGGAATACATCCTTGAATTCGACCAAATCCTTATACAAAGGATTTGACTTCAGCGACTCCCAGGATTGCGATGTATATCGCTCAATCCGAGTCTTCTCATCAAGGACACTCTCGTCCATTGATGAGCTGCTGAGAACCCGTTCGTTCTCGGCAAAAACTGTTGCTGACCGAATGTCAGTCATGTACTCGTCCTCTGCGACGAGCACACAGATCTGCTTGACTTTGCCACTACGCAGATCACGCAAGAACCTTTTAGGTTCTAGCGTAGGCAACTGAGTTATCTCCGAAGTTAACTTCGGAGGCGCGATCAGATCAAGCGTATAAGCGCCTACGATTGATCCGTCATTAACCAAGACGTTCAACGTCTCGGTTTCCTCCTGGGGACTTATTCCCTCAGGGCACTGGGGACTTATTCCCTCAGTGATTATTTCCTGGGGACTTATTCCCGCAGGCTCGATGGAACCTGTTCCATCGACTTCCTCTAGCTGTGGTGGCGCAACCACAGCGAGATCCTCTACGATCAACTCTCCAGTTGATCTAGGATTACCGTGTTGCCGCTTCTGGGCAACCGGTTTACTCTTCGGTGAATGCTGCCCTCTAGGCGAGCATTCATGTCCCGGTCCACTCGACTTATTCGAGTGGTGGACCTTCGGCGCTGCCTGTGCTTGTGCACAGCCGCCGGCAGCTTGCTCCACAGCGTGACTGTCTGTCACGCTGAGTTCTTGTGCAGTCGTACTAACGACCGAACCACAAGTGAGGCCATCACACTCACTCGTAGTACATTCACACGCTTGTGAACGCTCCAAGACATTCATCAGATGGCCATCTGATGAACAAGCGGCAGGCATCTTCACGGTTCGATGCTGCCAGCTGACCCATGGCTCGTACCTTCTGAGCCATGGTAATCCTAGGATGACATCAAATTTGTCATCCAGATCAAGTACGATGAAATCATCATCGTACTTTTTGCCTTCAAGCGTGTAGTGAATTCCCACTACACGTTTCTTTACTGTTACGGATGCGCCAGTTGCAAGGCGCACCGTCATCCTCGTTGGAGGGGTCTCGCGCTCAACATATTTGAGCCTACGATCATCTAGCGATTGGCGTCGAACAAAGTTGTTCGAAGCCCCACAATCAACTAGGGCGCGAAGTGACATGTTCTTTGTCACTTCGATCTTCAATGTGATGAGGGATACCTCATCACTGGGAGCGGCAACACACAGTGACTGTGTGTTGGGAGCAACCTTCGTCAAGAGTCCCGCGAACTCTCTTGACGTTGCTGGATCAGTAGGGCGCTCCGCCCCTACTGACCCCGACCGTTTTTTGATGGTCCACCACGTTGTTGCGATTTCGCAGCAGCGTGGGACCCACGTCTCTGGCCCTTCTTGGCAGACGGTCGATCGTCACTCCCAGTGTTACGAGACACTGGGCGTGGGGCACTACACTCATAAGCGTAGTGGCCCAACTTCTGACAGCGATTGCACTTTTGCAATCGCTTGTACCCTGGAGAGCGAGGTCGCTCGCTCTCTACATAGGAGAGGTCCATTGGTTCTGGACCTCCGCCCTCCTGTCGTCTCGGTGGACGATAGGATCCCGAGTGGACGTGAGCCTGTTGTAGGCTAAAGTCCTCCTGTTCCGCTGCAGAGATCGCTTGATCCAGCGATTCTAGCTCCAAGCGGAACAGGTGGGTCTTGACAGGACCATCTGTCAGACCCTTGATGAACACAGTAACCTGCGTGTGTTCATCGATTGGGTTCAGTACGATACAGCTAACGAGGTATCGTACGTGTTGGGCGTAAGCGTGTATATCACGCTTACCCTGTTTCAAATCCAGGAGCTCAGCCCGAGCCCTGAATTCGGCGCGAGGCGGTTCAAACGTGTGTTTGAGCCGCGCCTTGAAGACGTCATACGTTGGGAAAACGTATGGGTCGTGCAGTTTGAGCCCTAAGGCCCAAGCTTTGGCACGTCCTGCCAAGTTCGACATGGCGAACTTGACCTTCATCGCATCGTCATCGATGCGACGAGCCTCAATGGCATCGTCGAGCTCGACGAACCATCTCAACAAGGAGTCGCTTTCGACTGCCTTGTACTTGGAGACATCAATCTTCAAGGACTCGGGTCGACGTGCATACGTCGACCCGGCAGCAACAGCACTAGCCTGCTGTTGTCTCAACAGTTCAGACTGTTGAGCACCCTGCTGCATCAACAAGTCAGCTTGTTGAGCGCCTTGTTCTCTCAACAGTTCAACCTGTTGAGAACCTTGCTCCTCTAGCAAGGTGAGTTTCTTTACAACTTCGTCAAGTTCATGTTGTATGAACTTGGCGATGGTTGCATGTTGGTCGTCTCCGCTAAGAGAGAGCAACATGGCACCAACGGCAGGGTTGCCGATGGTTTCAGCCATACGCTGAACCGCATTCCATTCGAGGTCACTCAAATGGCGGAAATCATCACGCGTTGCGTGATGACGTTCATCACCCGCTGATTCCATAGCGGGTGGTGCGGTGGTCGCTGAACGGACCACGAAGTGCTACCAGGTGTAATGGGGCACCCTCCGACTATACTGATTACAGTATAGTCTACTTTCACTGATTACAGTGAAAGCAGGTGCCTCAATTACCTCTCTTACACAAGAGGCAGAGGAAGCTTTACTTCTAAACAAACGCTTAGAAGTAGAGGAAAAGAAAACTGTATTTAATATAGTTAACTATCTTAATAAAACTAATCTGTTATAACCTATGTTAACTATATTAAACTACAACTATGTATGTCGACAACTTGCCCTCCACTCATTGCGCGTGTCCATCGGTCATTGGTCAGCGCGTTGGTTGATATGATGGCCCATATCAACCAATAAGAGGGCATCTCCAACTTCAAGGAGATCTAGGGACAATATTATAAGAAAAGATAATATTGTCAAAATATTATTAGTTATAATAATATTTTATTGACACTTCATATAAGTGTCAATATTATGTAACGGGCTCACCCCGTTACACATTTTGCATCCTATAAGGGGGGTTATCCATTAAAGATTTTTTTTGTAAGAGATGACCCTCCTTGTAATCAGAAACAAGCTGTTTGTACACAAAAATGGCCATTCTAGGCATCTCATAATACTGTAGAAATTCTTCAATGAGGTCATAATCAACCTTTTCTTCAACCAACAGGGAGAGCTCTTTCAATCCCAATTTCTTGTCTTCTTTAAATTGTTTAAGCCATGTTTTGCCCACCCGCTTCTCAATTTTATTTGCCAATCCGGGTATCGTCGCCTCCCAAACTCTAGCAGCAATGGCAGCCGCATTGGCAGCTTTTAATGGGATGTCACCCGTGAAAAGCTCAGGTTTTGCTGCTTTGAACTTCTCAAACATGATGGTGTAGGAAATTACGACCGAAATATTCGCGTCATCGTCCATTTTGTACTTCCATAACATCTTTCTGATATCATTGGGATTAATGTGATTTGAAAGCAACACCGCAAACTGGTTCCATTTATAATCCTTCTTCGTCCGAAGCAATTCAAACCATTTGACGACTCCGTCTTCCAAGATTCCCATCTTTGTTAGCACATGCTGTTCAGCTATGTCAGCTTCGGCAGCTCTGACAATAGAAGTAGACTTGCGGATAACTGTCGATGGGTCCGACAAAACCAACATCTCCGGCTTCCTATATATATCATATATGGCTGTGTATGAAGCTAGGATCGGATCGATTTCGTCCTTGCTCTTTCCAAATTTCAAGAGCGCCATTCTCATACCATTGGGTAAAATGCCGCGATCCAACAAATCCGTGAACTCTTCCCATTTTGAATTCTGTTCTGTCCGTATCAATTAAAACTTTTCTTCGAATTCGGCTTCCGTGATCCTTAAACGCACTAGCACTTGGTTAGCTATCCAGGCAACTTTGGCAGCCTCGTCGGCAACTCTGGCAGCTTCGGCAACTCTGGCAGCTTCTGCAGCTCTACTAGCCTTGTAAGCAGCTGTCCCTGGGAGATACATCAGCGCTGAGTCAAAATTAAAAGGTAGTGCCCTCTCTGTTTGGGCATCACTTTCATCGTCGACGCGCAAAGCCCGGATGCCGTCGTTCATGTCATCACCGACGAGCGAGCGCATTGCCGGCGTCGAGGATGCGCCACTGTTAAGAAGAAGCTTGGTTACAAGAACCATTGACAGGATTTCATTCGCACGCATGAATAACTCGTGATTAGCAAAGAGCGTCAACAATCCACTTTGAGGCTTTCAAGAAAGTGTAAGAATGAGTTTTAAAGAGTGAGCGATAGACGCTGATAAAGCAAGTCAGAGGATAATGCCAGCTAACCCTTACGTTATTCATGAGATTTGAATCTGGACCTGTTTGAAAAAAGAAAGTAATCAGTACATGTCCGAGCGCTTCGCCGGTAACAGGTTTAACTCAAAATGTAACATTCTTTTTAACGTAACCAACGTTAACGGAAAGCGCCTAAAGAGTATTCATATTTATAGCGTAAAATTTTTTTATTCAGCTACTCAAATAGGAAGCTTCAAGAACCAGAAAGAGTCGATACTATATCTCATACATACCCGCACAGCAACTGGTTAAAAAAACGACAAGTGGGACTCCGATCTCTGACCGTGTGCTGCCATGCTTTTCGCGCCAGTGTTTGAAAGGGTAGACGAGTCTATTAAACCTCTTTTTTAGAGGTTCAGATTGTCTATTTACACGGTGTAATTTATGTGCAAGATCTCTGGAAAGTCCTGAGCCAGAATATCAGCGCCGGATAGCCCGACGGTAAATCGTGGCTGACCACCGTAGAATTCGGTGGCCCTCTTGGTTGCGCTCAAGCAATTCAATGCAAGCATAAAGCAAGGCACCACGTGTGGCTGATGCAATTCTCGATGCTCTCTCTTTGCGTTCGCTCGGAGCTGACAAAGGCACGAGGCCCAAAAACTGGAGATGCTGCTGGGAATGTGGAGTGTGACAGCCTTGAAGACGGCTGCATTCCTATCTATCTTAATCCGGTTTTGGCATATCGTCGCGAGGACATTCCAAATTTGTGTCCAGACGCGCTCGGCTTCATTGGCATCATCTTGAAATTGGTCCGCTAGGAATTTCGTGCGGTACTCTGGCATGCTGTCAACTCGTCGACTTGCACTGGCTCCTAGAAAGTTTTGGGTCAATTGGCAAGTGACGGTTTGCTCGGTCCAGTGACCAATGAGCTTTTTTTAGATCGTTGCAGCGCAATCACATTCCCAAACCAGATGGACAATGATCTCCTTACCTTAAGTGGTTGCAAATTGTCTGGTATATTCTAAGCCTGGTTAGCAACGCCGGTGCTCGTTCGAGTCCGGTTATTGGGTCTATCAAATTAAGGTGAATAGTTTTCTAAAGAAATAATTACGACAAGTGATTTTAAAACCAAAACTAGGGTGTGTACCCGTCTTTCCGACGGGACATGGTGCGCACGGACCAAATATATAGATTAAATTAATGACCTCCCTCCAATAAATTTATCCTCCGATAAGCTGTAACCTCCGGTAGATTATCAATTTTTGTGTTCACCCGAACTCGTTCTATGGTCGCTAGGTTATAAGTTATAGTCAGGCAGGGCAATATAAATTTATAAATTGAGTATTTTCTTGGTAGTTTAGACGAGAAACTTACTCACCCCACATGTCAAGGGTAGTTTGGGTATGGATGCGTTGCGAAAAGTTCAGTTGAAGTTCGCGGGAGGACTCTACAAGCGGCGTGAGGACTTTTCTAGGATACATCGAGCAGGGAGCAGGTATCACAAAGGAGGTTAGTCTTTACAATTCTGGTGAACTTGTCTACGACAGGCGCCACATCTCCACTATTTTCACTCTTCTTCTGTGCCATTCAAAAGCAAGAACGTTAGATTAGCTAGCGTAGATAGGGATGCATAGAAGAAAAAGAATAGCAGAGAAAGCCAAGCATAACACATAATCATGATTACTCAAAATTCTAGCCCTTACCTCTTCCAAAATCTCATCTCGGTCAGCTCCGGCTGAGCACTCTCATCCTCTCCGATCAGATTACGAAGCTCCGAAATCTTCATGGGATCCCGGACACGCAGCTGCTTGAGATGGTCTCTCAGCTCCTGCTTAGCATTTCGACACCTTCTACTATCTAGGTAGGCAAAACACTGTTGTACACTGAAGATTTACATAAAAGTTTTCGCTAATAGCACAAAAAAATGAAGTTTACGACGTGTCTTACACGTTTGGGCCGTATACAACTATTAAAGGAATCATAGACTTCAGTCTTTGTAGCAGTTTGAACCTTGGGGATGGATCTATCTCAAGGCCCAGGTTTCTTTTTATTATTTGTTCTATTATGTACAATACAGATAATTCAACAAGTTATACCCTCTCTAAAGTTATGGATGGTATCGTCCACCGTACCCATAACCTTACGGAGGGAGCTCTATATATTTAAAGGATTAAATGTTAATTTTCTTTATGTGCGCGACCCAGCTACTATATGCTTTTTAGGCTGTGTGCAGCTTCTATATGCTCCCTGTAACGGTTAAACGGTTCGTTAAGTATCGAATACTTAACGGGCAGGACTAAATGGGTACGAGGTACCTTAGACTTCCCACTTGGGTGCGGCACATCCATGTGACCCACTCTCGTGAATGTGATATCCATGGATGGATTCACATTCAACGGGGATGACGTCCAGTTGGGACTAGACGTCATGGTGACGCTTTAGACGGACGTCATCAGCGAGCTTAAAGACATTTTTAGCTCGCACGTAGGGATAAGCTTCTAAAGAGACGCGTATCCGATCTTCTAATTTAAACAATCAGTAGTTAGTTATATATTTAGATAAGAGGTATTAAATATAAGTCGGTCTTGAATTTCCCAATTACTGCTCACTGCGCATGAGGAGCTAAATAAGCTTCTGCGTGTAGCAATTGAAACACTTTTTTAGAAGTTCGTTGCGCGGTTCGCTTCAAGCGACCGGCAACGGTTGGTACAGCGGCGTGTTGTAACTGTAGCTCTGTCTTAGCAGTTCGTTGCGCGGTTCGCTTCAAAGCGACCGGCAACGGTTGGTACAGCGTTTTTTAGCGCTGACCGACACCACCACCACCGCACGCGGAGTCGGTTTAACTGTTCCTCGCGCTGCTTGAAGGTGTGTGCTCGCGTAGTCCGTGACAGCTTTTTCGAAGCGCTTGTCTAAACTTGGTAGCACTAGTAGTCCTTCCCACGACCCGTCTCTCTGAGCGTGCGTGTGGTTACGATGGTCCTTAATATGGACTGGAGTGACTTCCCTTACCTCTCCCGACATCATATAGAGTTGGCAGAGCATATGGCGCAGGGACTTTGTGAACAAGCCCTGACCAACCTCTTGCATTGCCCTCCTGAGAAACATGTTGCTCAGTTGGAGCAGTTTGAGGTGTTTGTTCTCGTACAGCGTAGAAACACGTCCGAGTTAAACAGCCAAGCCACGGATGAGTCTATCAATAAGTCTCAGGATGAGCTTTTGTGTGAGCAATCTCGGAATGAGGCGTTCAACAGAACTGTTGAGACGCTCTCGGTCCGGTCTAATCAGCCAAGGCCCATTCGGATGGACCTTCCGAAGTTTGATGGGACTGCCCCAAATACGGTTATTCACTGGCTTTTAGCCATGGAGCAATGCGGTATGGCGCAGCTCATCGAAGACAACACCAGGATGGTATATCAAATTTGCGTGGAAAAGCTTCAGATTGAGCTTACTCTACGCTGATGGCAAAACGATGATGCGTTTCCATCATAAGCGATTTTTAATTCAAAGATTCGCGCCATGTGTAAGCCGCCTAACAACGATGTGTTGCTTATGGCGCGCTTCTTTGTAGCACGACAGGCGAAACGATCTCGGCAAGAGTAGGTGCAGGAGATGCATTCGATGTCTGCGTCTTATAATGTGGGCCCAATACCAGAGCACATTAAGGTGCCTACGTTCAAGAACGGACTATGGCACGGCCCATCGCGTCAGTCCCTTCTTAGAAAGGTGCAAATGACAATTGAAGAGGCAATTAGAATTGCCATGGTTGAGGAGCAATCCTACAGCAGTGCCTCAGCGACAGCTTATTATATAAGCCGTCGTCCGAGAATTCGGATGCCACTCCAATGGAGTTAGGCAATGCAGACGTGGTCTGCTACAAGTGCGGCACGGGCGGCCATATGATGGCTCACTGCTATGCCAAACTTGATGCTGGTGTTAATACACCCAGCAGGAAGGCTCCTTACCCGAAGGGAGGTGCGAAAAACCAGCGTGCACTACGCACGGGTTCAGCACCTGCCCAAGATGGGTCAGACAATGTGAAAGCGCAGTAGGGGCGGGATTTCCTACTTCCGCGGACTCTAAAGCTACCCCTACGTTCATAGTGATAAAAAAATGGGTAGCATAGTCCCTGAGGTTCCGAAAGGTCGTGCCTCAACCCTTTTGGTCTATAGCGCTCGTGTACGAGGCTATGACCAAGTGATGACCCTTCTCGTGTATTCGGATGCATCACAAAACTTGGTGAAACTCGCGGCTCTGAAAAAGAGACCAGCGAGTTATGAGTTGCTTTGCCAGGATGGCAAGCGAGAAGAGTCGATCGTTCGTTTAGCGAACGGCGCGCTCGTTAAATCGGAGGGAGTTCAAGTTGAACTCGCCTTCAGTTTCAGTGACTTCTCTTGTAAAGAGAAGTTCACAGTGCTAGGTAAAGGAGAGTCCGTATGACCTCATCCTAGGCATGCCTTGGTTGGCCAAACACCAACCATGAATAGACTGGCGTACACGCACAGTCGCTAGCTCTACGCAAGACACCGGAAAGGATGTGCTCTTGCGAGAGGCTTATGTGGATGATGCTGTATCCAACACAGTCGAGGGTGCGATGACGGTATGTCAATCGGCACCAGGAACTACCCAGCTCGAAAAGAGTGGTGTAGTTGGAAGTGCCCTGGCAGAAAGCCAGGTGACACATATTCCTACCCATATTGAGGAGACTGGTGTAGTGAATGGGACGATGACAGGTAGCCATGCGTTCAATGTCCTGCACAGAGCCGAGAGCCTGTGGCAGTTGATGGTAGGCTGACAGGAAGTCAAGCGCCACAAGAACCGGCACAGAGCTAGGGGCCTGGTGCGGCTGGAAGGAGTGCGTTGGCTAATACAGCAACTACACCTTCTTCTAGGTCAAAGGTCGTGGTGCCTCGAACAACGAGCATGC